AGAAGGTCGCAAAAGAGGATCACGTGACCCGGGGACACTGTCATAAATATGAGTCAATTGCCAAGCACCTGTATTTTGATCTTGTGACCACAGGGATGCTGTAACGATCATAAGTGTGAAACGGTCATAAGTCTCCTGTTTCAGTATCATTTTACAGTCACTAAATAAATTGTTGTAAGCCGAGGACTACCTATTTTAATAGAGTCTTGTGTCTACTTTAGACGTAAATCAAGTTGGGTTTGAAGAAAAAGAATCTTAGGAAGGAAGAGCAGAGACACCCAATGTTGTCCATCTACTCTATACATCTAGAGCTGTGTTTCTCAACCTTGGCAACTTGAAGATAGGTGGACTTCAACTCCCAGAATTCTCCAGGCAGCCATACAGAGCCCATATTGGTCTTTATACGTGACTGGCTGGGGAATTCTGGGAATTGAAGTCCATCCATTTTAAAAGTTGCCAAAGTTGAGAAATTGATTTAGAGGCACAGAGCTCACCAACCACACCATCATAATATGATAGACACGATTTCTGCAAGTCACAGTAATTACTTTTGAATATTTATATAGCTTAATATGCACAAGTTTAAGGTCATTTTTGTCCTCTTTTTTTTTTACTTTACGTGCTGTCTTAGATGATCTATATTGGCTATCTGTTGCCAGCATTGCCAGGATTTTAAACGGGTCTTTTTAGCACTTGATTTGATGGATTTTTTTCCAGCAGAATTTTTCAGTGAATGCTTACATTGAGACACAAGTGAATGGATTCACACTTATAATTTAAGCTGATTTCACTATTTTTTTTTGTACATCTGAAACTGAATTTGATTTGGGTTGATGCTTGAGTTTTTGTCCACAAAGAGCAAAATGGATGAAAGTTTATTAATTATCTTGATATAAATATGCACATAGGGCAAATCTGTTCCATTGAAAAGTATGCTTTGATCACGAAAGAAAATATTACTTTCACCTCAACAATAGTAGGTCTTATTTAAAACTTTTTTTTCTAGAAGAAAGTACACAATATGGTGTTTTGTAGGGAAATATTTTATTTAATACAAATATAGGCTTCCTTGATCATTTTTTTTCCAAAGGGTGGCAGAATCTTCCACTGTATAATACTGTAAACTTAATTTGGAAGCAAATTTCTTTTCAACTCAAGTTTTCACATAACTATGTGCCTTTACTTCTCATTAAAATGCAGGATTTGAAACTAATAAAAGTTCCAGATTTAAGTCAATTAAAAGCACCAAGAGTAGAGGTATTTGTAACTAGCTTGCTTCATCAGTTTTAACTCTAGTAAGTTGATGTTGTAGTTATGTCAGAGAAATTAAGAAAAAAACATGTTTGAGCTACAGTGTGAGCTCTGTACAATTGTATTCGGATAATGGCTGTAGTAAGTGATCGCAATGGCTGTAGTAGATGTTTTAACTAGTGAGTAATGTCAGGTGGGATTTGATGATGTAGTTTGCCCTGGAAATAATCACAATTGTAATGTTGGTGATGGTTTAACAGTGTTAGAACTTCACACTATTTTTTCTGTTGAGCATTAAACATTGAAAAAGAATGTGTCTCTTTCTCCTTTTTAATTTGTNGTGAGCTTTGCCCCAGGTTGTAAAATCAGGGGTTTCTGACATGCAAAGTCAAATGGGACGTTGGTTTCTTTTAACAACCATGTGATTTACTTAACAGCTGCAGTGATTTGCTTAACAACGGTGGGCAAAATGGTCGTAAAATCAGACCCAACTTACTTAACCACTTTGCTTAGTAATTCTGCTTCCAATTGTGATTGTAAGTCAAGGACTACCTGTACTAAGAGTTGTAGGATTCATCCTTCAAAATAAGAAAGGAACGCAGCAATTTATAAAATCACTATTATATTTGAGTTAGGTAAATGCAGTGGGAGTATAGTAATTGGTTCGTCCAGTGGATTTCACATCAGCTGATTGAAAGAAATTAAAAACGTGCATGAACTTTATTTTGGCTTCCTTGTAAATTTCTTGTAGTAGTTACACACTGAATACGTGTCATGGGTTTGCATTTCATTTCGTGTGCCGAAATATCATTTTGTCACTTTTCAGAGTACAGTGAGTGGCATATAAATTTAATAAATAAAATAATAATTGGCTTGTTAAGCAGGACAAATTTCATTTGCTTTGGCAATGTATAGTAATAAAGAATATAAAAACTGGAGCAGTTATAAAGCCCTATACCCCAAACGGTCATCTCTTGTTTTGCAAAGAGATGCAAAAATGAATAGAACTGATAGCAAACCAGATCTATTTTTTATAGGTTCAGACTGTGATTAGATTTAAGCCTAAAGCTTATTGCTATGTGGTCTAGTGGTTAAGGCATCAGGCTAGAAAGCTAGAGACTGTGAGTTCAATTCTTGTCTTAGCTATGAAAGCCAGCTGGATGACTTTGGGCCAATCACCAGGATCCTGTGAGTTCTAGTTCTGTCTGAGCCAGCTGGGGAATTTGAGTCAGTCACTCTCTCTTTGCCAACTCACCTCACAGTGTTGTTTTTATTGTGAGGAAAATACGAGGAGGAAGGTGTGTTGGATATGTTTGCCACCTTGAGTTATTTCTAAAAATAATAAAGGTATGTTACAAAATAAATGAATAAGTAAGTACACGGTATTAATAATATCCATTATCATTTATCTCCTGCAGGTGACCGAAATCTGCGTTACGATTATAGCAACCGATACTCCGCTTATCAACAGGAGAAAGGAAGAAAAGCTCTTCCCGCAATCCCAAATGTTGACCTAAGATACAAATTCCCACAAACAAATATGAGCCGCTCTGTGTTTTCTTCATCTAGGACAGAAAGTGCTAGAAGGCAAAGAGTTCTCCCTGAGAAAAAAGCGCTACCAAAAGAACCCTTCAGGCCAGGACAGCGTCCTTCAACTACTACCGAAAGGCATGTGACTCATGAAAGGAGCCTGATTGGACAGAGAGAAAGACAAAGTTTTACGTCGCCTTATCGGATGAGCAGAGACAGTGACCTTCAGCCAAGGCCACCAGCGCCTGAAAGGAAGACAACCGAAATGGGAAGTATGGCGTCTGCTTTGAAAGAGTCCACTATCCTTCAGAAGCAAATGAAAAGGCCGATGAGTTCTGAAGGCATCAGGTCCACCGTGATCATCACTTCACCTCTGTCTCCCAGCTCAACTTCTTCTTCTTCTAAAGGAAGCCAATATGAGACGAGGGAAGGAATTTTGGGTTACATCAATGAACTAATCAAAGAGGGCAAGCCAGGAAAAGAAGAAAAACATGTTTTGGTAGAAGGAGTTGAGCAGAAGGAAAAATTGGCTGAAGAAGCAACAGGTTCTGCTATGAAGAATTTTGAGAAATTGTACGGGGTAGAAAAAACAGTTCAAAAGAAGGCCGAAGTGAAGGAAGTGGAGAACAAAGAGGATACAGTGGAAGAGAGTATCTTTAAGAGAAAGGAAGAGAAATTAATGAAAGATAATGTGCCTTTTAGAAGATGGGAGGAACAGATTAAAGTGGAGGCAGAAGGAAAGAAGATTCCAAAAGATACAGAAACGTTTGGAAGGGAGAAAATTGTGACCACCTCCTCAAAAACCCAAGAAACTTTTGAAGTCCCCATTTATTCAGGACATACTGAAGGCAAAATCCTACAGAAGAATCACAATATAGAGATAACACTGCAAGACTTCCAAACTCCTCCAGAAAAATCAAAAGAAGAAGCTGAATTTAAACTCGGGAATGAAATGACTCAAGGTTATAGAACCAAAGAAGAGGATTCTGAAATAGATGCTTCACACACTGAGAGTATAGCAGAGAGCATTGTTTCTGACATCCTTAAAGGTTTTGTACAAAAGTCTTCAGAAGAAGGACTTCCTCCCGAAGCTAAAATAACTTCCTTCGAAAAGGAAGAAATTTCTGAGGATGGAAAAGTGAAAACCAAGATCAGCATAGAGTCCACAGTTCAAGAAGATGACCTTGATGCGTCTAATAAGTCTGAATTGGGAAGTTTCTTAGAGAAAGATCTTAAAAAAGTATTGGAGGATACCAAAGGAAGTTTAGATGAAAATGTCCTAGACAATATAATTAATGTTGGGATGAAAGGAATGGAAAACAAGGCCAAGAGGACTATTAAAGTTGAGATCATTGAAGAGCCCGCAACTATAGTTGATGAAAGGGTGGAGTTTTCAACCCCATTCGAAGTAGAAGAAGCAGAAGACACATTTCTCAATGTGAGAGAACATCCATATCATAGTGATAAAGAGAAAGCCACCCCAAGTGTTTCTGGAGACCGTAAGGAAAAACAACCCGATGAGATTGTGTCTCATGTGGAAGAAGTATCTGAGGGAGATGATGTTGTGGATGAAGAAAAGTACTTTGTTTCCACTCCAGATGAATACCCGTTTGGATATGAGGAAGGAGAAGGTTCCACCTATGGTCAAATCCATTTTGAAGAAGAATCAACAGTGAAATATTCTTGGCAAGATGAATTTCTGGAAGGGTCTCAAACCAACATAAAGGAGGGTCTGGCTTCATCAGAAATGATTTATCAAGTAATTGGCGCAGATGCCGGGTCGTTTATCTCAAAGGCAGAAGCCCCCAAAGAACAGGTGGCCCATGCTGAATCTCTAGTTATTGAGAAGGAGATTAAAATCCCACATGAATTTCAAGAGTCAATAAAGGAGGTTTTTTCTCACCATTCAAAGGATCCTAAACATCAGTTGAAAGAGGCACTAGGGAAGCTTGAAGCAACTCTTCCAGAACTTGTGAAACAGGAACTTGGTGAACTCACTGAAGAGGACAAAGCTGACTCTAGTACCTTGGAAGTGGATATTAAAAAAGTAGAGCACCCTGAAAAAGAGGGTGTATTTACTATCGTTGCAGAAGTTAATTTATCCCAGACAATAGACACTGACCAGTTGAGTACAGAGTGGCTTGGTGAAGTTGGGGGCGATCAGATGAAATTGTCCAAACAATCACCAAATGAAGGTAGCTTTGAGCAATACATAAAGCAAGAACCAGAAACTTGGCAGGATGAAAAACATCACGTAGATGTTTCCTCCACACATTGGACCACAGAAGACACCAGTAAGAGAGAAGATGCCTATCCTTCTAAGGAGTCATTTGATATCAACAGACACATCCGGCATGTTGTTGTTGGTCCAACTGAAATCCGTAAGACTGAACATGTCTTTTATGAAGGTCCTACTTCTGACACTCTGGAGTTTGGAACAGTGGACTTTACAACAGGAGTATCCACAGATGCAGGTCAATTCAAGAAGGAAATAAAGTTGAGTCCTGAAATAACGGAAACCACAGAAAAAATAATTTATAGAAGTCCTATTTATACATCTGAAGAAGTGAGTAATCCTGAAAATTCTACTCACATCCAGATTTCAAGTGATATCAGATCCTCCAAGCATATCACATTGGATTCCAAACAAATTGTTGAAAAAATCACGTTTGAGGGATCAGCTTCAGACTTGTCATCAGCTAATAGAAGGGATATCTTTTCCCAGATGAAAGATCCCATAGCAATGAGCACATCAGTAAGTCACATCCAAATAGATCCCAAAGAAATACATGTTGAACGAGAAATCTATGAAGTGCCTTTTTCCACTGGAGACCATGATCTGTTTGAAGAAACAGTGAAAAAGATTACATTAGGACAGAAGGACACGTCAACATCTGACCAAAACATTTATGAAGGTTCCTTCACCAAGACATCAGATGATGGTTCCACCAAGCCTGGTGAGGAGAAGGTGCTGGATGTTAACACTACAATCGGACATATCAAATTAAGTCCGAAGGAATTTGTAAGTGAACAAATTGTTTTTACAGAGCCCATTTCTGAACAGCACCAAAAGGTCCATGAATTGGGGCAGATGCTTTCTTCTGAAGGGTCGGTACATCGTATTAAATTAGGGCAGGAAGAAGTCCAGAGCCATGATTTCATGTCCCAAGATTTTGTTTTGGAATCTCCAGGAATTGGTTCTTCACAAGAAGACACCTTGGAAAAAATAAGTCCTGCAGAGATCAGCAGATCAACACATCATATTCAGATTGGGCAAAGGCTCCATAGTCCTGATACTCAACTCTTCAGCGGTATGGAATTTCCCCACACGGATGGACTCTCAGAAAACAGCAAATCTGTTGGGCAAATCAGAATCGGACAGAAAGAAACGTCCTTTACCTTCCAGATGGACATAAGCAAAATGGGTGGGAGAGAGCCACAAGCTACCCTAGTTGTATCAAGTAGACAAGAAGCAGGTCAACCTGAAGGCGGGATGGAAGAGGTTTGGAAAGACCCAGAGAGTGAGCAGAAGTCAGAGGAGTCCACGTTCGATCAAACTGTGCAACTGCAAAGAATGGTTGACCAACGATCGGTGATTTCGGATGAAAAGAAAATTGCCCTTCTCTACCTCAATGAAAACGAGGGGGAAGACGAGGACCAGGGACCCTGGTTTTAAAAACTAACATTTCCAAGTTTTGTTTTTTTAAAAACCTAGAAGCTTAACTGCTGCATCGTTGAGTTTTAAACCTGGGAATATCTAGTCCTTTCATCCTGAACAGAGGACGTGGAACGTAAATTTTCTGATGCAGTAATATTTTAGCAGCATTCTTTTCTTAAATTACGTAAGATTTCATTTTACTGATGCTGTGGATATCTCAACACGATTTTTTTTTGTAGTTTCCTTGTTTCTGTTTGAGAAAGGATTTAAGTGGATATAGGAAAATACCATTTTTGCTCAATTTAAAAAGAGTAGCCTTTTTTTTTAAAAAGACATTTAAGTCAAAATCATACTGATTCCCGTGGATTGTCCAGAATAGACATACAGAGAGCCCTTGGCTTACAATCACAATTAGGACTGACAAATTCCTTGTTAAGCAGGATGGTGGTTAAATGATTGCATTACATGATAACATTTAATTTTACGACCATTTTTACTGTGGTCATTAGGTGAATCTACCTTCCCCCCATATTGAGTTTGCTTGTTGGAAGCTGGGAAGGGTGCAAATTGTGATCCCCAGACCACGGCTGTGGTACAACACTCACTTTTTTCAGTCCGGCTGTAATTCCAAACTGTCACTCAGCGAATGGCCGTTAAGTCAAGAACTAGCTGTATTAACAATCCAAGGAACAAAGGCAGGCTTGTTGGGATCGCAGTTTATGGAAAACAAGTCTGTGTACACTATTAGCAAAAATGTGTGGCTGATCTGCCAGATAATCTCCTTCTAAACTCTTATTCAGCGACATTTTTAAAAAATAAGTGACCAAATAGGAACAACAAATTGCTAATATTATGTCAGGTCATTGACCTATTCTCTCTCTCCCTCACCCTCTCTCCCCCCTCTTTCCTCTCTCCCTCTTTCCTCTCTCCCTCTATCTCTCCCTCCCTCCCTCTCCCTCCCTCCCTCCCCCTCTCTTTCCTCTCTCCCTCTTTCCTCTCTCCC